TATACAAACTTACTCTGCTATACTATTACTGATCTGTTCTCTTCTTAACTGACTTTTAACTGACAGCTACTAGAGATTATAGAAGAAGATAATAAGCTTGAATAAGAGATTGAGAATATTCTTAATAAGAGACTCTGCAGCTGCAGCTGATAATATCTTGTGAAATGAGTCAGCTATAATCACTCAACCTGGCCCCGGTGGCCGAATGGTTAATGCGGCCACCCGGTAGCGCCTTGGCATGGGAAATCAAGGCGTGTGGGTTCGAAACCCGCAGAGAATACATTAAAGTCAGAACTTAAGCATCTCAGATTTCTAATAAATACAGAGATGTATAAATTACTTTAATAAATTACTCTATATTTCTAAGCTGAGAAGTTATTATCATATGTATTTAATTATTACTTCTTTATATTTTTCTATGTTCTTATTATCTTGATATAATCTTAACATCTGTATTTCCTTCTTTATAATTAACACTTGACCTGTATTTAACATCATGCAAGAACTTATTATAATCTTCACTTGTATATAAGTATAATGATAGAATAATAATAATAATAATAATAATAATAATCACTCAATCTGAACTTTAAGCTCTGTGTTATCTAAAACAGTAGCTCTTAACTGATAAGAACTACTTCTGAAAAGAGAGAGTTAATGTAACAGACTAGACTGATCATCAGAATTATGAATTTCACGTTTGATCTCATTTGATCTGATTTCATACATTTCTTAGCGTGAATCCCGCTGGGACTGGCTATTAAAAAAACATGTAAAGTGACTATATATCAGATCTTAAAATGAAACCATGACTTGAAAAAAATGAGAAAGTGATCTCATTTGATCTCATTTAGTCTCATTCTTGACATAAAGTTACTATTTTTAGACATTTTAAGGTTTTTTTTAGACTATTTTTAATTTTTTAAAAAGTAACACTTTTTGATAACACTCACATGAGATTTAAAGTCATTTAAAGCAATAAAAATAATTTAAATTGAGAAGTGAAAATCATGATCTCATTTGAAAAATGTGACAAGAGTAGACAGTAAGTCTCACTGAGACAGTATGAGACTACTATCTAATGTTAAAACCGTGTAATGAGATCAGTCGAATTGATAATGAAACTATTAAAAAATCTGGTCCTGGTCTCAGACACGGTCACACAGCCAGTCTATAACAGACTGTGTCTGATTAATTATATAAACTATTCTATTACACTTCACAGATTTCTATTACTTTATTCTTAAATACATATACTCTGATTCTTGATTATTCTCAATCACTGATTCTTAGTCACTATAAATATATATAAATTCTTTCACTTCAAAGCTTCACTGTGTACACTACTATATACATGTATAAATATTTACTTTAATTACTAATTCTTACACTTTCTCTTTCTTTTCCTTCTTTAACATTTTTCACTTTGTTATATAAGACCTATTTATTATATCAATCTATTCAGTGTAGACCTCTTACAGAATCTGATAAGATGTAATAATTAACTTTGTTATTAATCTCTCTGAGAGTAAAAGTTATAAGAATATTCTAGTCATTGTTAACTAATTAAGTAAAGATATAATATTATAATCTTGTAATAAGATGAATACTGAATAAGTTACCTAAGTCTTTCTGTAAAGTCTGTTCTATTAAATATATGAATTACTGAAATCTATAGTATCAGATTAAGACTGTTAATTTATAAGTACTCTCTGAACAAGAATCTGTCAAGTTCTTAAGATTATATACTATTTATTAACTGCTTATTACTCTGAGACTAATGATACATCAGAATAAATAATTCAGACTGTAAAAAATTATCTTTATAAGTTCTGTAATTACTTATAAGATGATTGATATAATCTTCTTTTACATGCAGAGATTGCTATTAATGACTGAAATACTGTTTTAACAGATATAAGTCTGTTCTTTCTTATATATAATTACTATATCAAAGTATTGAATTTTTTAAAGATTATACAGTTTACACTGAATCTCTACAGTCTGATTCAGATTGCTGATAATATAATAATAAAGCTCTGAGATACTTGTAACTAAGCAGAAGCTTTCATAATAAGTGTTAAATAAGATTAAGAAGATTAAATTAATGTCTGTTAAAATCTCACTCAGTGATATAAGATAGAAGATCTGATGTAATTTAATCTTAAAAATATACAAATTATATATTCATCTTATACACTGAACTATCACTATATTAAATACAAAGTAATAGAAGTTCTAGACAGTTATAACTACTGTCTTAACATATTATTAAAGATTTATAATATCTTTTATATAAGCTTGCTTTATTATATTATCACTGACTTATTCTCTTCTTAACTGACTTCTGACTGACAGCTGTCAGAAATCATAGAAGAAGATAATGAACTGAAATAAGAGATTAAGAATATTCTTAATAAGAGATCTTACAGCTGCAGCTGATAATATTTTATGAAATAAGTCAGTTATAATCATTTAATCTGAACTCTGAGCTTTGTATTATGTGAAACAGCAGCTCTTGATTAATAAGAACTACACGCGATCTTACTTCTGAAAAGAGAGAATTAATGTAGCAGGTTGCATCTGATTAATTATATAAACTATTTCATTATTCTTCATAGATTTCTACTGAAAGTTCTGATTCTCAGTTATTAATTCTCAGCTGAAGAACTTATGAGGTTTCTATTCTTTCATTTCAAAGCTTTATTTTATACATATATAAATATTTACTTTAATTACTGATTCTTACACTTTCTCTTTTTCATTTTTCTTCTCTAACATTTTTTACTTTTGTATTATAAGATTCATATATCTCTCTATATATTAAAGAAAAACCAACTTTTCCGTGTAAAAAACACTGTAACATGACCTCATATAATATCACATATATCTTATTAAAAATTTATGAATATGTAGTAGTGTCTGTTAATTACTTCTACTCTATCACTCTATTTACTCTCTATTATTATCACTGTCTCTAACGCTCTGTAGCACTCTCTATTACTTTCACTTTATATCTCTATCTCTTATCTTATCACTTACTCTTACTATCATCTCTATTATCTTTACTATCTCTATTATCATTACTGTCTCTATCACTCTGTAGTACTCTCTATTACTTTCACTTCATATCTTTACTCTTATCTTATCACTTACTCTTATCACTTCTATTACTTCTATCATCTCTATTATTATCACTGTCTTTATTATCTTATAGCAGTACTCTCTATTACTTTCACTCTCTATCTCTATTCTTATCTTATTATTCTATCTCTCTCTTATCATCTTTATTATCTCTCTCACTTCTATCATCTCTATTATCTCTCTCTATTATCTTTTTCACTCTTTAGTCTCTCTATTATTATCATTATCTCTACTACTCTACAGTCTCTTTTATTACTTTTACTATCTCTACTTCTCTCTTACTATCTCTATCATATTTTAATCTCTGTATTGATAGTATATACTGCTAAATACTCTGTAATAATGTGATTCAAAGATTGCTTGAGCCAGCGTACGACTACAGGCGTTCGCCGGCTTCTTATATATTGTATGCTAAATTAATTGGTGGCCGCTATAACCCCTTTACATTCGTAAGCATGTTAGAAAGCGTGTTTGAAAGCAGCTGTGTTATTATTCAGCAGTCATACATTCTTCTGAATTACATCCTTCTTCATCAGATTCAGTCACGCTCACATGTAGACTGACCGTGTGACCGTGTCTGGGACCAGGACCAGATTTTTTGATAGTTTCATTACCAATTCGACTGATCCCATTACACAGTTTTAACATTAGATAGTAGTTTCATACTGTCTCAGTGAAACTTACTGTCTACTCTTATCACATTTTTCAAATGAGACCATGATTTTCACTTCTCAATTTAAATTATTTTTATTGCTTTAAATAACTTTAAATCTCATTTGAGTGTTACCAAAAAGTGTTACTTTTTAAAAAATTAAAAATAGTCTAAAAAAAACCTTAAAATGTCTAAAAATAGTAACTTTATGCCAAGAATGAGACTAAATGAGATCAAATGAGACCACTTTCTTATTTTTTTCAAGTCATGGTTTCATTTTAAGATCTGATATATAGTCACTTTACCTGTTTTTTTGATAGTCAGTCCCAGCGGGATTCACGCCAAGAAATGTATAGAACCAGATCAAATGAGATCAAACATGAAATTCATGGTTCTGGCGGCCAGTCTACTCACATGATCATAATGTATGTTCTAGCTTTATACAGATTAGTGTGTCACTAGTATTTATAATAGTGTAGTCTATTTCTGATTCAGCTAGTGTTCTGTATACACTCTCACAAAGAAACTTTCACTATATTACATCACTCATTCACTAACTTTTTTCATTCTTTAATCATCTTCTTTATCAATCATCATTATTGAATATTATTATCTCATCTCAGATTTCTACTTCTTTTTCTGTTTAACACTTTCTATCTATTCATCTATTATATTATATGCATTTCTGGCAATAACTCTCTGTTCTCATATCAAGTGTTATTATAGTACTCATATCAAGCAGTTTGTTAGCAGTAAGTGTAATATGTTATGAAATATAATCAGACTTATTTATCTTCTAACAATTGTCAGAATATATTATTATGAATAACATATCTTCTTTATCTTCTTATACACTCTCAACTGTTTTTCTTCTCAGTGACTTCTAATTGTGTTTTCTGACATGATTTTGTATAGACACAGATACTGATGTTTATTTTTATTCATATAGAATTTTCATATATTGACAGATCTGTGTCTGCTGATGATAGTAAACATCTCAATATTAAATTATTAATTGAAAACTTGAAGAATATCTCTCTATATATTAAAGAAAAACCAACTTTTCCGTGCAAAAAACGCTGTAACATGACCTCATATGATATCACATACACCTCATTAAATTTATAGTTGAGATTAACAGCCGGCTCTGCGGCCTGTACAACTCTGATAGATAATCTTCATTCTTTTCTTTACAGATCAACCGCTTCACCACGAACTCGCTCGATTTTTCGAATAAGAACCCGCCGATAGATCCATCGAAAAGCCCTCGATCATACGAGCATTTTGACCCCATCGCCGACCGCATACCCCGTGTGGTGGTGGAGTTATCCAGCCAAACGTGAACCAGACGTCGTTCGGAACTCCTGCGTGGGATTATCCCCCCATTCTCCCCTACCACACCACAACCCCGGGCCAAATCGCCATACAAATTGTAAGGTGAAGAGACCTAGCCGTATGCACCAATCTTCTCGATTTTGGAAGATCCCCGATCTGTAGTTGTGGAGATATCTGAGGAACGACCTTCGCGAAAACCCTGTCCATCTTTGATGTTCCAAAACATCAACGCCAAGTCCCACCCTCGTACCGCCCTTCCCAATCTGGCCCATCCCCGGCAGAAAAATACAAAAAGATACCTCAGCGATAATATCAAGCACATAACCAACAGACAACGAGACAACAGCACACCAACAACTATAAAATCAGTATACCTCAAGGTCTGACTGAGCCTTTGATCCCTGCACAGTGAGATATATTAAATCTAGTTTTAATACCTCAATATTCAATAGATTCTGTAAGGGATTGAGAACAGCAACACTAGGTTTCTATTGAATTTGAGAATTAACTCTATATTGATATAATCATTGACAAAGTCTTCTATTTTAAGATATAAATAACCAGTTCCTCTACATCTCGCTGGCAATATTTACATTATTATATAGAAACAGACTTATATTCTCTATAATATCAAGACTCTGAAGAGGGAAAGTCTTGATAGAGAGTATACAGTAGTGCATATCTTAGCAGTTTCTATCTCATTCTTCTGCAGCAGTTAATGCAAAAAAAAAAAAAAAAAGATCATAGAAATAGTTTTTTACTTCTCTTGAAAAAGTAAGATGTTTTTCTCTGGGTTTTATACAATATTCTTACAAAGAATTAAAAACAGAGTTGTTTTCTGTCATAATTTCATATTCTTTTAAGTAAGAATTACTTTTTCAGTGACTGAAGAGCTTTCATTAATACTTAATTCTTTTTTACACTCTTTATTAACTGATTTGAGTTGCACACTTGTTGTGTGAGGAGAATTGAATAATTTAGAATAAAATTGAATAGTTTTAATCAATTTCTCTGCAAAAAATTGATTTATTTTTTGTCAGTTTTTCTCTCAAAAACTGTCATATCATCTGATTTACTATTAATTGATATCATACTTTTCCTCACTGTATCTCAAGAAAGAGATTGTAAAGATTTTATTGATTTATCTTAAAAATCAATTTTAGTTTATTAGATTCTCTTCAAAAATCTAACCTAGTTACTGAACTAGTGTGAAAAAAATCAGGTGTTTTGTACACAAAAGTCTGCTATCCTTCTTTTGAAATAGTCTGATCAACTTTTCAATTGAAAACAGACTTATCAACCTCTTAATTGAAACAGTCTGATCAACTTTTCAATTCAAAAGAGTTTAATAAATATCTCAATTGAATTAGTCTGATCAACTTTTCATTGAGTAAGAATAATGAGTTCAAAAGTACACTCAGTTGATGTGGAAAAAGATGCTTTCTCAAATGCTATTCCTGAGATTGAAATTCTGAAGAGAAGAAAGAAAGAAGAAATAGAGAAATAACAAGTTCTTGAAATACAGGAACTTGAAAAAGTAAGTAAAATTCTTGGAAAGCAGTGTCTGAGTGAGATGAATGAAGAAGTTCTGTTAATTCTTCATGCTCAGGCTAGACAACTACAGGAAGTGATCAAGTTCAAACTTGGAATTTCAAACACAGTTCAAAAAACTTTGAAAATTTCTAATACAATCACTGACTCTTCAGTTTACTCTTCTTTCTTTTCTACTTCTTCTTCTTCTTCTTCTTTAAATCAGAAGAAAACATATGCTCAAGCAGCTGAATCTGCTGTCTCTAAACCTGCTGTCTCTAAATCTGCTATCTCAAAACCTGCTCAAAATTCTGAGAAAACTGAGAAGAATACTGCTCATACTTCTAGTGATAGAAGAGTGGAGAAAAAAATGCAAAAAGAGAAAAATCTTCAAATCTTCAGAGATAGAAGACTTATTCTCAAAGTCTCAAATCAGGATATATTGCAGAGAAATAAGCTAAACTCAAACCTCATTTTCAGAATTAGAAATGAAATCAATCAGCAGTTCTTTTCTCAGTTAATGACTGATATTAAAGTTCAAAAATCAGTTATAGCTTCAATTGAGCCATTCTTCTTTGAAAACTCCATTATTCTGACAACAATGTCTGAATTCAGTGCTGAATTTCTTATTCAGAATGAGAATCTCTGAAAATCAGCAGTGAAATCTTTGTTAAACACAACAATTCTATCTGAGAGAGATGAAAAGTGAGACAAATTCATTCTTCATGATATTTCAGTTGAAATTTTTGACTGTGAAGAAGGAATGCTACTTCTCAAAAATGAATTAGAATTATACAACTCTATTCAACTGAGAAAGAAGCCTGTATGACTAAATTCAATTGAGTTCAGACAAAGCAGAAGAAATGCCTCTGTTCTAGTATATACAAAGACAATGAAACAGTCAAAGATCTCTGAAGTAAGAGTAGCAGGTTTGAAAATGAGAGTTCATGAATACAAAGACTCAAGAATGAATCACAAAGCTCAAACACAGTGTTCAAACTGTCAAAGATATGGACACTTTGCAATCTTCTGTTTCAGAGACTCAAAATGTGCATTCTGTGCCAGAGATCACAAAACTAGTGAGCATAAATGTGAAACATGCTCAAAAAGAGATGAAATATGTCAACACACTCTGCTTAAATGCTCTAATTGCAAAGAGAAACATGCATCTAGCTCAAAAGAATGTATGTTTACTTCAAGAACTCAAAAGAACTGGAGAAAAGATGAAGCTCAGAGTAAACCTAGAACTGAAGAGAATAGTCAAGTCAGTAAACTCACAACTGTAAGCTTAAAAAGAAGAAACTCTCAATTATTTAAATCTTCAAACTTCAATTCTTCAGTGAAATGTAAACAGAATCTGAATCCTCAAACTTCTGTTAAGATTAGAGAATTGAGAAATGACTCTGATGATAAACTAGATATAATGCAAGCAGTTGAGATTTCTACTTTTCAGAACAGTTATAACCTACTATCTGATGATAGTGATTAGATTCTACTCTACTCTCTTTTAGTATGAATATACAATAAAAACAATAAAAAAAGTTTAAAAACTCTTCAAAAATCACATTTATTCAAAATAATGTGAATAGAAACTCAAATTGCATTTATTCTTATCTTTAAATTGCACTTGAATAAAAAGTTGATTTTATACTGCTTCAGGAGCTGAATTTTGATGCTGAGCAAAAATATGTCATTTCTCACTTAAGCTACTACTGCTTTTTACCTCAAAAGTCTGAGATAAAGTCAAGAGTAGTGATCTATGAAAGAAAGAGATTAAGATATTAATTTAATCTATGATTTAATATCATGTCTGACCCTGATATTCTGATGAGTGACATTATAGATAAAGAAAATGAGTTTGATACTATACAGCTCATAAATATCTATAATGAAAAGTCATTGAAGAAATATAACAATATCTGAACAATTGATAGAGAATTTCTGAACATAACTTCATCAAGAAACTCTATAATTGCAGAAGACTTCAATGCACATCATCTCTGATGAAATTCAGAATGCAAGAGAGCAGTGAGAGCTGATAATCTGATTGAATGAACCTTTGAGCATTCAATAGATTTGATTAATAAGTCTGATCAACAAACATTCTTTAGAAAAGACATGAAACAGAAGTCTATTATAGATCTAATCTTCATGTCACAAAATCTCATGAAAAGAAGACTTGTAAACTGGTTTATTGATTCAAATGAGACATCAGAATCAGGTCATGAGATTATTCAATTTGATATTGAACTGAGTGAAAAACAAATGAGTGAAAATCCTCTTCTCTCTAATCAGTATAACTTTGAAAAAGCTGATTGAAAAGCAGTTGAAGAAAGCATAAAACTGTTAAAATCTGAGAGACAGAATGAGTTATATTGGAATTCTGGTCAAGATATCTCAAATGAAATGCTTGAGAATAGAGTGAAGCTTATTATATCTATTATTTTAACAAGTGTTAGAGATAATATTTCAAAGAGAAAATCTTCTGAGTATTCAAAACTTTGATGGAATGAGAATATCTCATCTAAAAGGAAAGAATTAGCTACTGCTAGAAGAGATTGAAAGAATGATGTAATATCTGATGAAGAGTTCAAAGCTGTCAGAAATGAATATTTTTCAGATATTAAAAGAGCTAAAACAGACTGCTGGAATAAATTTCTTGAAGAAGCACAAGGAAAGGAAGTTTTTAAAGCTTTTAACTATACTAAAACAAGAAGTGTAGCAAAACTTCCAGTCTTGAAATATGAGTTTCAGAATGAATCATATACAGCAAACTCTTTTGAGGAAAAATGTCAAGCTTTCATGAGAATTCTCTTTCAGAACTCACCAGATTCAGATTCAGATTCAGATTCAGATTCAGAGGAAGAGAATATATCACTTCTCAACTACATTGATGAAAATGACTGGGAATGGCCTGATCTTACACAAGATGAATTAGAGTCAGCTATCTTCTCAAGTTCTGTTAAAACTGCTGCAGGTCCTGATTCAATTAATCACTTGATTATTCAGAATACATATTCCTACTTAAAGAATGAATATTTTGAGCTCTTTTTCAATCTCTTGAAAAATGAATATCATTCTGAATGCTGGAGAGAAGCCACTGGAGTGATTCTTGCAAAACCTAATAGAAAAACCTCAATTCCTAAGTCATATAGAGTAATATCTCTATTGAACTGCCTAGGAAAGGTTTTAGAAAAGATAATAGCTACTTGACTATCTTTTATAAGCTCTATAGGTGATTCTCTTTTATTCAGTGAACAAATGAGACATAGAAAACAGTGTTCTGCAATTGACACTGTTCTCTCAGTTGTTCATGATATTCAAATAGCAAAGCATGAGAGTCTGGTCTCAACTGCAGTTTTTATTGATATAAAAGAAGCATTTGATCATGTTTAAAAGTCAAAGTTAATTCAGACATTGAAGATATTAAAACTGCCAATTTCTCTAATAAAATGAGTTAACTGTTTTATATCTAAAAGAAGTATATAACTCTTCTTTGATGGAATAAAACAAGATAAGACTGAGATAAAAATAGAAGTATCACAGAGATCTTCAATCTTGCTCATTTTATTTGCAATATACACTGTATATCTATTTAAAAATAGAAATATGAGAATAGTGTGATCTCTGAGTTATGTGAATGATATTGATCTAGTCTACAGCTCAAAAACTATCAAAGAGAATTTGAAAGTAATTGAAGAAGCTGCAAAGGAAATCTTTGTTAGAGCAGATATCAATGAAATTCAATTTGATATGAATAAAACTGAGTTAATTCATTTCTTTTCTAGATTCAATG